AAAAAAATTAGCCAGACATGATGGCGGCTATCTGTAGTCTCAGCTACTTGGGAGGCTGACATGGGACAATCACTTGAACCTGGGAGACGGAGGTTGCAGTGAGCTGAGATTGCATTATTGCACTCCAAACTGGACAACAGAGACCTCGTCTCAAAAACAAAAATCTCTTTGAGACCCTTCTTTCAATTATTTTGAGTATATACCCAGAAGTGGAATTGCTGGGTCATATGGTGTCTGGAGCCGCCGTTTTGTGTTGTTATAATAGAATACCACAGACTGGGTAATTTATGAAAAAAAGCACTTCTTTCTTACAGTGCTGGAGGCTGGGAAGTCCAATATCAAGTTGCTGGCATCTGGTGAGCGCCTTTTAGTTGTGCTATCCCATGGCAGAAGGCAAGAGGGAGAGAGAGAGAAAGAGAGCAAAATAGGGCCAAACTTGCTTTTTAAAATAAGCTCATTCTCGAAATAATTAACCCATTTCCTCAATAACAACATTAATCCATTCATGAAGGCAGAGTTCTCATGACCTATTCGCCTCTTAAAGGTCCCACCTCTCAACACTGTTGTTGCATTGGGGATTAAGTTTCCGACGCATGAACTTTAGGGGACACATTTAAGCCATAGCATGTGGTAATTCTGTTTTTAATTGTTTGAGGACCTGACATACTATTTTCCTTAGAGGCTGGACCATTTTACATTCATATTAGCAGTGCATAAGGGTTTCCATTTCTTCACATCCTCAGCAACCCTTGTTATTTTCTGGGTTTTTTTGATAGTAGCCATCCTAATGGATGTGAAGTCAACCTTCTCTTTTGCATCAGCTGGTTTGATTGACTATCTGGGGGAATGTAACCAAAAAATCCTTGGCTAAAATGAGCATGTTCTCATCTGGACACTGCTTGCATATCCTTATTCTTTTCTTAGGCTCCTTATATACTTCTACTGACAAACCTTGCCTTCTGTTGAGTACATCCTTTTCTTAATGTCTGTCAACATTTTTTTTTTTTGAAATGGAGTCTCGCTCTGTCACCAGGCTGGAGTGCAGTGGTGCAATCTCAGCTCACGGCAACATTTGACTCCCTGGTTCAAGCAATTCTCCTGCCTCACCCTCCCAAGTAGCTGGGATTATAGGCACATGCCACCATGCCCAGCTAATTTTTTGTTTTTTTAGTAAAGATGGGGTTTCATCATGTTGGCCAGGATGATCTCCATCTCCTGACCTCATGATCCGCCCACCTTGGCCTCCCGAAGTGCTGGGATTACAGGCATGAGCCACTGCACCTGGCCAATAT